TTTTAGTACAACATGGTTTGGCCAGTGTCTTGTCCCACGTGCTTAGCATGTAGGTTGAGCGACACGCGCTTTCCCACGTAGGTGACATGCCTTCTTGGCATGACACGTTATGGGATCCAAGGCCGGAACCTGGTCAGGTAGGTTCTCGCGTTGTACGTTTCCTGGAAGTTCTTCACTTCCTGGAAATGTGACTCCAGGCTTTGTGCAAAACCACGTCACTACGACGTTCTACAGGTTTCCACGATGCCTCGGTGCTTCGTGCAAAGAGCCAAGACTAATATGACATTGTATATCAAGAGCTAAGTGCAAGGCAGGAGACGTGTGCAAGAACCAAAACCGTCACCGCGCAAGAGGTCAGAGTATCACGCAAGCAAGACCAAGAATGCAGCAGAACTTACCATAAGAAGCCGCTGAACTATGGCACGTTGGGTGAGCGGGCTCCCCAACGTGACCCTCATATACTCACATTGTACTCTGACGTGGGTGAGCGGGCTCCCCACGTCCCAATTTGGTCTTTCTTCTCTCGATGTCTTTCTTTCTCTTTCTTCTCGAATGATCACCGTACGTATATTCTGCATTTCTGCTGACTGGCTGCGCACATTCCGGTTTGACTTGTTCTGCTATTTCCTGGAATTACCTCGCAATGATCACGCCATATATCTCTGAAGCACCCTATAAAAGAAGCTCTCATTCTCTCTTTTACTTCAGTTTTAGTCTAGTCTAGCCTAGTCTAGTCTAGTCTAGCAGTCGAGACTCGGTCTCAGCTCTCTGTCTTCGTTTACTTTGAGCTCGGATTTGATACTACTCACAACGTAAAACTAACAGTCTTTGTCTGTTGATCGTGTGGGGTTGAACTTGGACCAAGCCAGCTATATTGGTTGGCCCCTGGGTTGTGTTGGGCTTGTGAGGCCACACGTCTATATTCAGTCGCCGCTCGTAGTGATTTCGGGGTCCGGTCACTCTGAGCCAGGGACGCGACAGGACCATTCCTAAGGACACCACATGCACTCGCACACACCACACAAAACGAAACTACTAACGTGCACCGTCCAAAACATTTATATTTTACTAGCAATGTCGACATAGGAGAAGTAATTTATAACAACGTGACAATAGCATTGTACTTCAAATGTACCTAGCTACATGATTGTCCAGTGTACACATGGACCTCAAGTAAACTGAAAGCAATGCGAACAAAATCTCAGATGTATGTGAAAAAGTATCATTGTTCCAAATAAGAACACTTACAATGTACTCTCAAAACTAGTCTAATTACTAGTGCCCCTTGGTCAAGGATGTTTGCGGCCAACATTAACGCCAAAGCAGCAGCGAATCAGCTAACTTCCGTACCGCCCAATAGGCAACACTAACACCAAAATGCAAAGACATATTCCTGGAACTGCAAGTAAATCTGACACAAAACGTTCTATCATTCCACGGAGAAAGCTCCTTCCGATCTTGTTCGACCCTTCATTCATATGACAGCTGATTGGAACCTTCCTCCTCCCTTGACCATGTTTACCTTATTTGTCTACAACTAGGCACGTGGCATGTATGAACTATAATAAACACATGGTGCGTCGTGCATTATGGCTGATTGTATGCCCTAGTGCGTAGCCCTCGGTCGTGCACCGTAGCCCGCGGGCCTGCGGCCCTTGGGCTACGGTGCACGACCTCGGGCTACGCACTAGGGCATAAATCAGCCATAATGCCCTCCGTACCATGTGTTATTATATACATAATTCTTACCTACATTCATGGCAGAAAACGCCTTTGCACGCGTATGCTGAGGCGTCCCGCGAAACCAGCCTGAGACAAGGGGTGTCCCTGAAAGACGTTGGGGTACTGGGAAGCTCTGCCTCTTGTCACACACTCAGTAGCCAAATCAAGAACATTTTCATGCAATATAGTCCGTGATTTTAGCGGTAACTTGGCGGCTTCAGATCTCACTGCTTGGTGGCCGAAAAGCCTCTTGTATGGGCAAAGCAAATGTGCTTACATAATAAACAAATATCTCAATCCAAAAGTTGATCAAAACACCAACTTAATGCCAAGAATCTGAAGAAAGACTCAATCCTGTGTTGCTATAACGGGAACTGAAACCCAACACAAACCATAAAAGATGGCAAGTACACTGCTTGGTGGAGAAGATAACATTTTTTAATTGTTCCCGTAGCTATGCAGAAGACGTTACTTCAGTAACGTCTGGCGCTAGCCAGGGTCCACACAGCTTTAATTTGGTGTTTGTTTGTTCGTGGCGGACGGACCCCCTCCGTCTGGCGCTATCCCGTATCTGTCCCGTACCGTACCATCAAAGACAGCTGGCCACAAACAGCTGGCCACAACATTCAAATAGGGCTGTCAAATGAAAGATCATAACGTGAAGCAACTTGGAAGAATGAGTAGGAATGCGAAGTGTATCGGGTAATGCATGTAGGGCGATTGTGTGGGTTCGAATCCCAAGTTATGCCTTAAAAAAAAATAGGAGAATTGAAAAATTTATAACATCCCTATGCTTTTTTGCCTAGGTCATCAAGGTGGTAGACGGTGTCGTATTACCCTCGGCCATACCTGTCCCGTACCGTACCATCAAAGACGGCTGGCCACAAACAGCTGGCCACAATGTTCAAATAGGGCTTTCAAATGCAAGATCATAACAAATTCCCCAGTAAAAGAAGAATAAATAATAATATAATAATAACGTGAAGTAACTTGGAAGAATTAGTATGTATGCAAAGTGTATCGGGGGATGCATGCAGGGCGATAGTGCGGGTTCGAATCACTGGTTATGTCTGAAAAAAAATAGGAGAAATGAAAATTTACTATGCTTTTTTTGCCTAGGTCATCAAGGCAAAAAAGCATAGCGTAGGGCCCTGAGCTTCCAAGCTCTCTCGTATTTTTTGTCAACACTAAAACCAGGCTTATGTGCCGACAGTGTATCTTGAAAATCAGGCTTCTATTCAAGACAGGCTTCTATTCAAGACAGGCTTCTATATGAGACAGGCTTTAATACAAGACACCACAGTAGATATAGCACACTTATGTCCAAACTCGTGGAGTTTTCCCTTTCACTATGCACACTTGTATGCTCGTTTGTGTGTGCGTGTATGTGTGTGTACGCGTGTACGTGTGTGTACGCGTGTATGTGTGTGTACGCGTGTATGTGTGTGTACGCGTGTGTATGTGTTCGTATGCATGTGTGTGTGTGTGTGTGTGTGTGTGTGTGTGTGTGTGTGTGTGTGTGTGTGTGTGTGTGTGTGTGTGCGTGTGTGTGTGTGTGTACGTGTGCATGCATACATGTGGTTGGTACGTGTGTGCACACGTGCGTCTTCCACAGCCCAAAGCCAAGTCCAAATCATAGCCCACTCAGATAACGACCCCAAGCTTGCTGCTGATCGGCGAGTATCTGCAGAGTCATCGATCTTGATCACCACGAAGTGAGAGTTGATTTACGTTTCCTGAATTCTCCATTACCCTCCAGTATGGCCTGATGATAAGCCAGACTTGAAAATCTGGTGTAATGTAAATTTTAGTTTTAATCGCAGTGATTGGAGTTTGGAGTTGAGAAGTGATGTTTCCTAATTGTGAACTCTTTATTTATGTTTCAGTACAGACTTTCCTTCGTGTTTTAGCCCCCCCCCCCCCCCCCCCCCGCTCTCCCTCTCTATCTCTCTCTCTCTCTCTCTCTCTCTCTCTCTCTCTCTCTCTCTCTCTCTCTCTCTCTCTCTCTCTCTCTCTCTCTCTCTCTCTCTCTCTCTCTCTCTCTCTCTCTCTCCCTCTCTCTGCCTATGTCTCTCTGCCCTGTCTGTCTGCCAGTCTGCCTCTCTCTCTCTCTCTCTCTCTCTCTCTCTCTCTCTCTCTCTCTCTCTCTCTCTCTCTCTCTCTCTCTCTCTCTCTCTCTCTCTCTCTCTCCTCTCTCTCTCTCTCTCTCTCTCTCTCTCTCTCTCTCTCTCTCTCTCTCTCTCTCTCTCTCTCTCTCTCTCTTCTCTCCTCTCTCTCTCTCTCTCTCTCTCTCTCTCTCTTTCTCCTATCTTATCGATCTCTGGCCGACCTCATACGCCAACAACATGACTCCAAGGTGAGGTCGTATGTGGTCGAGGTAGAATTGCTTCATTGATAAACAAGCCACCTACTCTTTGAGCTTTCCATGTTTATTCATTTTATTTTCTACCATTTCTTAAGGTGTGCGAGCCGCTCCACTGCGGCCATTCTTCATCACACGATAGCCCTACTTGAAGTACACACACAATCCTCAGATCAAGTGGTCTCTTCGCTGCAAGCGTGTGCAGGGTTGTTCACATTTTCTCTCATTGCAGTAATTTACCTCCTTGGCTTGATCCTTCAGACCCCAACAGAGGGGAATCCTTTAAAAATATAATGAAGAGGAAAACTTCCTTCTGCCACCAGAGACGGCTCAACCCAATAACGTGGAGCACTATTACACACACAAGAGGCACAACGGAGGTTTAGAGATTTGTCGCAACTCAGAGTTTCTTGCTCAATGCAATCGTCAGGCGACTTATCTGTAAACCTCTGTAGGGCCTTTTGTGTGTGCTTGTAATGACTTGTAAATAATTATTTATTTCGCTCCTGCTCTTGCAGCAGTGGTGCACTCTTGTGTGGGGCAGTGCCTTTGCTGTTCGCGTTATGCAGAGCTCACCGACTTGTCAGTTTGAGCACTCTGGCAAGGTACGTTCGGGCCTGGTTTAAATCTGGCTTTGGAAAATTCATTTTTTTATTGCTATCAGGTTCGGCCTCATTTCCTCTGTGCTGCGCTGATGAGTCCACGAAGGACTCGAGCCAGGGACCCTTGCTTGTAGCCAGTGATGCTCTAACCACTGAGCTATGGTGTAGTTGTCATCCCAGCAAAGACCGCTCAACATTTTCTTCAGACTTCGTACCTCTCACTTTCCGTGAATCCACGCAGGCGGGTGGGATGCAGCCCTCACTGTAACCCACACACTTCACGTACAAACTAGCACGCGGGGAGCCCCAAGTCATAAAATGTTAACTGGTTTGAGGGAAGACACAAAAATTTAATTCATAAAGCATAAAAAAAAGCGACGAGGCGACAACAGTTTCAAAATTGCGAACAAAAGGACGAGCTGGATGGACAAAATTTCATGATAGTCAATCACAATTTTTTGGTTCTCCCCATTACTTTCACATTTTTACAATAAAGGCGTTACACATGTCGATCCAGCTCGTCCTTTGTTCGTAATTTTGAAATAAAGCATGTGATGTAATCATGAAAAATGCATTTTCACTCTGGTTGGTTGTCTAGTATTTCACACGACAATACTATATATGGTATGTATTGTACAACGGCATTTTGGGAGTCTGGAACACTCGGTTCTCCTTGGCTAGGAATGTCAACCTGTGCAGCACGATCAGCATTGTCTTTAGCATCGTCCGCAGACAATGCGCACTGTAAAACAACGTTTTGCGAGTCAGGGACATACGCTTTACCCAGGGTAGGCATACCGGGCTCGAGAGTATCAGCAGTGTGTTTCGCCACATCCGTGGACATTGCGCATTGTACAACGACGTTTTCGGAGTCGGGAACATACGGCTCAGCTTGAGCGTGAACATCAGCCACGGCAGTATCAGCGGCGAATTTTGCAGCGTCCGCGGACGATAGAACAATGTGTTGGGAGTCGGGAACATACGGTTCAACCCAAGTAGGATTATCAGCAATGTATTTCGCAGCATCTGTAGACGATAGGACACTAATGTTTTGGGGGTAGGGAACATACGGTTCAACTCGAGTAGGATTATCAGCCATGGCAATATCAGCAGTGTATTTTGCGGCGTATTTCGCAGCGTCCGTGGTCGATAGTACGACAATGTTTTGGGGGTCGGGAATATACAGTACATCTTGCGTGGGAGTATCAGCCACTGGAGCATCAGCAGCGCATTTCTCAGCGCATATCGCAGCGTATCTCGCAGCGTCCGTAGACGATAGTACAACAGCGTTTTGGGAGTCATTAACATACGGTTCACCTTGAGTAGGAATACCAGTCGCGATATGATCAGCAGTGTCTTTTGCAGCACCCGCGGACACTGCTACTTTGTCAGTATCAACAGACTCCGGGGAAGAGATCGGACTTAACTGAGGGGCAGAATGAACACCGCCAGCCATTAGCTGCTCTATATATGACTTCAGTTGCGTCTCGTATCTGCAGAATACGGAATACGGAGGAGGGAAAAGAAGAAGTACGAATTGAGAAGATGCGACCTAATGCTGCATTTGTGTTCAGCATACATCATGTACAGTCAAACCTGCCTAAGACGACCGCTCAAGGGACCTTCAAAGTGTGGTCTCTGTTACCAGGTGGTCTCCTTATCCAGGGTCATTTGACTGGAAATAGCATCCCTTGGTCCTGGCTTCAGCGGTCTTCTTGGACATGTGGTCGCCTTATCCGAGTGATCGCCTAAAACAGGTTTTACTTTACACTGCTTTAGCAGGGGTTCCATGAAGTTAGGCCAGGACTGCTGGGACTCCCCCCTACAGTCAATCCAGAGACAGGGCTGAGTGTGCCATGTACTCGTACACTACCTGTGACTAACGACCACCCCTTGGGGCCAGGGAAAGCAGTCTTTAGTGACAGGTGGTCCTTAGTTAGAGGATTGCACCGCACAACCATAATATGAATGTGAGACCGCCCGTGCCTGGCGAAGTGGCCTGTAGTACCAGGCTGGTCGCTAGTCATAGTGGTCTTTAGGTACAGGTTGACTGTATCTAGATTAGGCTGTGCTCGTTGGCTATGGCAGGACCCTGCTACGGAGTGTTGTCAGTGGATTTTCTCATTCCGCCGCCCAGCCCGTGCCATCTCCACACTCATACAACGGTCGAACGAATTACATTCAGAAGACTGGACTCGGATGGAGAGCCAAGGATTAATTTATAGAAAATGAAAAGGACCAAGGATAATAGTGTAACTTGTAGTTCCTTGGTCCTTTTTATTCTCTATAAATTCAGAAGACTGTTTATTATGACAAGACGACGGACACACACAACTGGACATGACAAACTCAAGACGAAGACTGCTTTTCATACCACAGCAAACATGCGCATGCACCAACACCATAATTATGACGTACACACAAATAAACCGACTGCAACAAGAACAAGAGGGACATTGTAAATGCTACTACCCTCCCCCTGGCCCCGCCACGCAACAATGCGACAACTTGATAGATAATCTGATGTTTTCTCATCAACAACCGGCGAAAGCGCAGCGGGAGGAAAGCAAAAATGAAAAAAAATGATGAATAAGTAACAGACGTGGGAACAACAGAAGAGCAAGCAGCGATAAAGCACGGACGAATTGCGACAACCAATCCAATATGTACAGAACACATGACCAAGACGCAGACGACTAGACCACGGACGGATCACACGTCACTCTCGCTTGAGGACCAAACTAGCACCTCGCATGCACGACGTTCACGTGAGAGTCACTCTCACACAGACGGAAGTAGACTCTCACACTCCGACAACAGGTACTCGTGCATGCGTCACACGCCATACACGTTACACAGCACACCATACTCACACGCCACACGTACACTGGACCATAACACAGTATAAGATATCAGATATCGGACTCTACACGGCAAGAACCACACGTACACTGGACCAGAATACAGTATATAATGACATCAGATATCGGACTCTACAAGACAAGAACCACGTGTGTGACAACGTGCGTAACTAATAGTTGAATCGAGTTTCACAACAATAGCACATGTAGAAGCCTTTTTCAAAACCTGTTTTGAACAGTAAAACTCCCCTTAATCTGGGCAAAACCTGCTTTGAACAGTAAAACTCCCCTTAATCTGGGCAAAACCTGTTTTGAACAGTAAAACTCCCCCTAATCTGGGCAAAACCTGTTTTGAACAGTAAAACTCCCCTTAATCTGGGCACATCCGTCTACCCGGGCACCTTTCCGACCCATCGCTTGGAGACAATGATTTGAACAGAGATATGAGCAGTGTCTGCTCCAGAGCCGGGTGAGCCGGGTAATCGACCCGGTTGGGCGGCGCTTGGACCCGGTTGAAAATATAGTACCGGGTCACCTGTGACCCGGTTGGTACTTTACACGTTCGAACTTTGAAAGGACTGACCACATGGCTTGTATGTGTGGCAGATCATGCAGAGGCGCGCGTCGAAGTGAAAGTAGTCAGTATCCGGTGTGTGCACGTGCTCAGTTCGAGCTTGATCGTTGAGGTGTTGTTTTTGGAAATGGAGCCTCCAGCGAAGAGGCGAATCCACAGGCCCTGCTTCCAGGACTCTTGGAAAACAGGTCGTCGTGGTGAGACAGCGCCAGGTACATGTGTACCCGGCTCCGACCCGGTTGAAATGGTTGCGCCAGGTACACGTGTACCCGGCTGTCCTACAATCCTAGAGCAGACACTGATGAGCAGTGTCAAATGCGTACTCAAGTCATGACAAGGGAGTTCACCCGGAAACCCAAATTGCGCGTTTAGCACAAGGATCTAGTTGTTCTAAACCGGGAAGTTGTCAGAAGCAACTTTTGAAATTTGAACCAAAAAGGCCCATGCAATCCAGAGTTCTGGACGATTGACGATTGGAAAATGGGCACCAAACCAGTCACAGAAAGCAATGCAAGCACGTATGGGGACGGTGTGGTTTCCGCCCAGATCTGCACTATCTGGTGCGTACATGCCGGTGCGAACTGAAGTGCAAGGCGATACAGGATGTGCACGGCATGCATGCCTCGCACATGCACGCCGAGCGCGCCTACTTGCACAACTCACATGTTTTCATCGGCAGCAACGCTCGCCCAATCGAGCAATGCATTATTGTGTGCAAGGCATGTGTGGTACCAAGATTGCAATCATGGACATAACCGCGAACAGTGTGCCTTAGTTTTCAATTTTTTTATTCCAAGGAATACAAGGGAATGGTCTCAAACTGCGGAGAGTGCTCAATGCAAGCGAGGCAGAGCTTTATCACACACAAGCGGAAAAACCGTCAGAGATCAAATTCCATTACACAGTGTTTCACCGTTCAAGCAACGGATCATCAGATGGATGATCAAACAAAGTATGATACACTGGTTATATACTCAGAAGGTGTGAACTCCGTCACTATGGAGTGTGAAAATTATCATTCTGTCGGGTCCCGGATGTGGCAAGTCCATTTTTCATGATGCAGTGTACAGAGTGCCTAGGTGCTAGATGAGGGTGATGATATTGCGGGGTGTGACCAGCCCATTTTTCATGATGCATTGCACAGAGTACCTAGGGAAAGGTGATAGCGCAGAGTGGTGCCATGCCAGGTAACAGATATAGAGGCGCTACCAAGGCCATAGAATAATCACTGTCCTTATGTGATGGGCACAAAATTTGATAGGACATACTTGCTTTCGTGCCTGCATTTTGACACAATCTCATTTCGCTTGTTTAGCCTAGTGCGGGCGTCGGTTTCGAGGATGTGATACTTCTCGGTAGTGCAGAGGCCACATCTCTTGGACGTGTTATCGAACGAGGTGGCCCTGTCGCGGATCATCCAGTCAATGACGTACTGTCTGTTGTCCCGCTTCATCGACCAAACATGCTTTGACAACTCGGTGGAATTCTCATAGCGGTCATGCCTGAGCGTAGTCAAATGGTTGGAGTAGCGAGCTTTGAAAGGCGGCGCAGACATGCCGGTATAGACCTTGGCGTTACGAGTGTCGTCCGACTTCTTGTACTCCTTTGGCGATGGCAACGGAACATTCCGTTGCCATCGCCAAAGGAGTACAAGAAGAAGCTTATCGAGAAAGTCGAGGACGTTATCCGCCGCATGAGGTGGAAGGCCATCTTCTTCCTGAATGGCCAGGACAGCCAAGAAAAGAACACATACGGATTCAGAACGAAGAACTGCCCCCAGAAGGTCGCGGAGTTGAAGGCTTTCGAAGAGGATATGTACACCATGATCGAGACCGTGAGCTTCCGCAATGCCGACAACGACCTCCAGCAGCGCATGAAGGATGACCTACGGTCGGTAAGGACTTCGAGTGACATTATTGTTCCTGCTGATAAAACGAGAAACCTGTACCGCATGTCTGCCAACAAGTATAACGCATTGCTCACCGAAAATGTCACAAAAACGTATAAACATGCAACTGATAGCGCCGACAACGAAATCAACAGTGAAGCCAAAGTTATCGCTGAGCGGTTGGAGATTGATGACCGAGTAAACGTCTTGGCGAAGTCGGAAGCATTCATCACATTAAAAGATCACGAAGAAAACTTCGAAAAGAAACTCCCATGCCGCCTCATCAACCCCGCCAAACCCCAGCTAGGCGTTGTGAGCAAGGAAATTTTGGAGTCCGTCACTGAGCCTCTGCGGAGCCACGTCAATCTATGGAAGAACACGCACGCCGTCATTGATTGGTTTAATGGCATCCAGAACCCAAGGGAGTGTTCGTTCGTCGTGTTCGACATAGTCGAATTCTACCCATCCATCTCCGAGGAACTGCTGAAAAGTGCCCTGGAGCATGCAAGTAGTAATGCTCTCGCCCGAAAGAGCAACGTCGATATCGTGATGCACGCCAGAAAATCACTGCTTTTCGCGGGTGGTCGAGCATGGATGAAAAAGGACAAAGACGAGATTTTTGATGTTACCATGGGATCGCATGATGGGGCGGAAGCCTGCGAGTTGGTTGGCGCTTTCATCCTCAGTAAGCTAGTGCCGATCTTCGGGAAAGAAAACGTGGGTCTCTACAGGGATGATGGCTTGGCCATACTCCGAAACGCTAATGGCCACCGCGCGGACCGGGTCCGTAAGGATGTTATTGAGGCATTCAGGAAGCTCGGCCTGAGAATAACAATAGATACCAACATGAAAGCCGTGAACTTCCTCGACATTAACATGAACATCGCAACCGGCATCTACAAGCCCTACAGGAAGCCTAACGACACGCCACTATATGTCAACACAAAGTCCAACCACCCGCCTAGCGTGATCAAGAGCATACCTGTTGGCGTCAACAAGCGGCTCGTGTCAATCTCATGCACCAAGGAGGTCTTCGAGCAAGCGCGGCCGCTTTATGCCGATGCCCTACGCGCAAGCGGTCACGCAAGTGAACTGTCGTTCCCTGATGAAGACCAACCGGCACCGGCAGCGGGCAGTCGTCCCAAGAAGAGAAATCGTGACCGCAGGGTTATCTGGTTCAACCCGCCATATAGTGCGAGTGTGGCCACAGGCATCGGTGCACGGTTCCTGAGCCTCATCCAAAAGCATTTCCCTAAGGGCAGCAAGATGCACAAATTATTCAACAGGAACACTGTGAAGATCGCATATAGCTGCATGCCGAATATGGCCCGACTCATTAAGGCCCACAACAAGAGAGTGTTGCACCCACCAACACCGGACAAGGACTGCAACTGCAGGATCAAGAACTCGTGTCCACTCGAAGGAAAGTGCCAGGCGGACAACGTCATCTACCAGGCCATGGTGTCGGACGACACTCGTAACGCCAAGGTCTATACCGGCATGTCTGCGCCGCCTTTCAAAGCTCGCTACTCCAACCATTTGACTACGCTCAGGCATGACCGCTATGAGAATTCCACCGAGTTGTCAAAGCATGTTTGGTCGATGAAGCGGGACAACAGACAGTACGTCATTGACTGGATGATCCGCGACAGGGCCACCTCGTTCGATAACACGTCCAAGAGATGTGGCCTCTGCACTACCGAGAAGTATCACATCCTCGAAACCGACGCCCGCACTAGGCTAAACAAGCGAAATGAGATTGTGTCAAAATGCAGGCACGAAAGCAAGTATGTCCTATCAAATTTTGTGCCCATCACATAAGGACAGTGATTATTCTATGGCCTTGGTAGCGCCTCTATATCTGTTACCTGGCATGGCACCACTCTGCGCTATCACCTTTCCCTAGGCACTCTGTGCAATGCATCATGAAAAATGGGCTGGTCACACCCCGCAATATCATCACCCTCATCTAGCACCTAGGCACTCTGTACAATGCATCGTGAAAAATGGACTTGTCACATCCGGGACCCGACATAATGATAATTTTCACATTCCATAGTGACGGAGTTCACACCTTCTGAGTATATAACCAGTGTATCATACTTTGTTTGATCATCCATCTGATGATCCGTTGCTTGAACGGTGAAACACTGTGTAATGGAATTTGATCTCTGACGGTTTTTCCGCTTGTGTATTCCAAGGAATACATGGCTGGGGTAGCCAATGACCACTTTGCGTGGCGATTGCAGGGTTTATAGCCTACCACGGGTACCAGTAATAGCATGGGTGCTGTCCCGACAGAATTTCACACACAGAGTTTCAAGGCGACGTCATTTTTATGATGCAATGCACACTGCTGTCAAAGCTGTCAAGAAAAAACTTTTTCCGCTCCAGCCACCCCCGCTTTGAGGGCAGGTGTGGGTGGATTTCACTCCGAGCGCACCTACTCCGGATTCGGCCAAGCGACCATGCTCATTCTGAGCGCACTTGCTCGGGGTTCGCCCAATCTATCATGCTCCTAGCCTCAATTATAAATAACGCTTAGCCAATAACCACGATATCACGAGTGACATACCTAAGTCTCCGAGCAGCTGTCGTATACCTAAAGATCCTGGGCACAAATGCCGGTGACAGTGGATCGTCGCTTTTCGCACCGCCGACGAAATGCTGCGAACAAACCCACGTCAGCTTCTTTGGTCTCCAATTCTGCCAATGAAGCGCCTTGATCCACCGGTCTCTTCGTGCAGAGTCGGAACTCTCTCTAGGAAATGAATGAAAAGAGACCTTGCCGCCCACCTTGTACTTGCTCTTGCAGCGATACGCGCAGCACTTCTTCACCATAATGAAAGACGGTGGGCAGCAGGATAGCAGCAGCGACAAGAATCAAGCCACACACTACAGTATATTATAGTAGTACAGAAACTCCAAACATTGAAACAAACACGAAACAACTCCTTTCTTCCACTGCCACTGGTCTACTCCTGTTTCTTCTTTTTCAAATTAAAGTGCAGCTAGCACTATGACGCTACGAGTGCAGTGCTTGAGTCAACTAACTATTACTTCTCAGCCTTGGCTTGAGTCCCGCGCGTGAGGGCCGGTGACTCGCGGTGCACCCGTGAGGCACGCTCGAGCTCGCGCTGTACTACATGTAGTCATCACTCATCAGTGTCACTGTCACTGTCACTGTACAAAGAAAAAGAAAATGACAGTGTGTAGTCTAGTTTGCGATTACATCATCAGTTTCTGTTGAGAATGCTTTGGCAAAAATGAATCGAATGCAGCTCTGTACCGATCGTGTGGCGCACAAACACAAACTGACAAAGTCAGTTATAATTCACACAAACTGACAAAGTCAGTTATAATTCACACAAACTGACAAAGTCAGTTACAAGCATGTTATTTAATTATGCCAGTCTAGCCGCTAGATCGTCATATCAGTGCTACACAAGAGAGAGTTTGGAAGCTTTGTCACAACTCCGAGTTTCACGTATCTCTACGATCATCAGGCAACTAAGTTGCCTGATGATCGTAGAGATACGTGAAACTCGGAGTTGTGACAAAGCTTCCAAACTCTCTCTTGTGTACAAGGCTCTGCCCTACATGGGCATTGAGCACTCTTCGGACAGTGAAGCACACCACTTGACTATATCAGTGCTACATGTAGTGCAGTAGGCCAAACAGTCAAACTGGCAAAAATTAATAAGACATTTTAGTTAGTAATGATTATGTTGACATACTCACCTCCTCTCCGGATCTCCCCTGACTCACTTGTGAGGTCTGCATCTGCCACTATGCACTAAGGTGAAAAGGCCGCATAGTGGTGGCCTGCGGAAGCGAAGGCTATAGCTTGTGTGTTTCTGAACATTCAAGTGATGCTAACGCGGATCCCGCGAATATTAAATATAAGTACAGTCTCCAATGGTACCCTCGGTCTCAGGTGCTCTCACATTTGTGCAATTGTTGATTTTGGTCCTGAGTTGTCCTCCCTGCGCTTTGCTACCGTCCTCCTCCTTCCTCCACCTATTTTTTTCTTAATTGGCCTCATTATGGCATTCGCTTCCATGTAATTGGGCTTGTAGCCCGTGTGTACTTGCGAATTCAAATAAAAATATACATACATACATACAATAATAGAACACTTTGGGGCGGCATTCAAAAAATAAAGTGCTCAGTCTCCATTATACCGTATTTCCACAAATAGTAGGCCGGTCTACTATTTTTTCAACCTCGTCCTAACCCGACCTTATAATCGAGGACGGTCTTGTATTCGAGGACGGTCTTTTATTCTTTCAACCCAGTTTGACACCCCCCCCCCGGTCTTCTATTTCTCGCCACACAGTTTTACCCCCGTTCTTCCATTTTCTTCTACACAGTTTGAGCACGGTCTTCCATTTTTTCCCACAGTTTGAGCACGGTCTTCTATTTTTAACACAAGAACAAAGACTCATTTAATAGGCCCGGTCTTCTAATCGGAGACGGTCTTTTATTTTTTCAATCGCCCCCTGCCCCGGCCTTGTATACGAGGAAGGCGTTGTATACGAGGACGGCCTTATATTTGCGGAAATACGGTAAGCACACTGTCTATCGGTACCTGGTAAAATGCATGTACCGTATTATCACTAAAATGCAGTACATGTACCGGCGAAAAACCCCTGAAATGTGTGTGTCAGACATGAATTTGGCATGGCAACATGCCTCTGAAATGAAGTTGAAATAATAATGGAACAGTGACTGAGTCTCCAATAAAGGAACGCCTCCATCAATAGCACGGGGCGGAGGTACATTGAAAAAATAAAGGACCGTGCGTACTGCTTACATTGGAGATAATACGGTAAGAGGTTCCACGCTGACTCACCACCCCCGGGGCCATGCACCGGTGACACCGCGGAGACAACAATTAATTATAATTTTTAGCAATAAAAAGAACTAACTCTGCCGTCACCATTGCATCATGCATCAACGAAGTCAAATGAATCGTCACTTTCGTCAGAAGTCTGCTGTGTTTTTCCACTAAATTCACCCAAAGTGTACGATTATTAATATTTTGTTTTCTGTGTTGTGTCGAGCAAGGTAATGGTTCTTAAAGCTGTTTGTATTCGTTTGCGTAAGCCTGTTCTCTGTAAACAAAAGAAGCATGTTGTTGCGCTGAAATCTTCCCCTTTTTTCACACTATCCACAGTTTGTTTCTGTCACTTCACAGTGGACCGTATGCGTGTTAAAACAAAATGGCGTCACGATTTATTGAAAGTGGTATAGTTGGTGGTACGAGTGTTCAAACCCATTTGAACTTCATACTGTTCGTCTTCTTTTTGACATGCTCTCTTTCCATCGTCCTTAGCTTTTGTTTGTTGAGAGCTGTTTTGGCTTTCTCCTATACCTCTGGGGGATGCCAAGTGATGGTTTTGAGAGGCTGGTGATGGCTGTGAGCGAGAGTTTGACGATCGGCGTCGTCCTCGCTATAGCGATGAAAATACTAGTTACTGCGCACCTGGCAGATATCACAACACGTCGGAGCGTCCAGGAGCAAAGGAATCTTGGGTTTTCACTGGAATCTAGTTCCTCCAGCATCGTGTAGCCCACCGTCGGTGAATGGCGGTCCAGAAAGGTCGAACCTGGTCTTCTGCAGCATCTCGCAGTCCTGCGAGGCACACTGAATACGCCTGTCATATATTCTACAAATAAAAATCACGAAGTAGTGGACTTTATAGTGATGAGTCTATCCTGTATGCTGCAAAAGACGCAGTAAATGTGACTGGTGTCCGTACACTGGACGCCAATATCATCCCAGTCTTCTCCTGCAGGATCTGTTTGACATTGACATACCGGTATGCAGTGGGTCGACATTGGCCTGGTTTGGCAGCTATCTGCCTGGGTGGATGTAGCAGGTTTGCATTGGCGCGTCGTCCAGTCCGACATTTTCTTGTAACTGTGGAGTACCGGCAGGGTTTGAGAGGTTGCTCGTGCTGTGAACACATCTCTACTGCCTGTCTCGTCCTGGAAGTGCCGTCTCGCCGCTTCCTTGCTCTACAGTCACGCCGTTATTTCGCTTTGTTTCGTGGTGCAGCTCAAAACCTGCCCAAACAACTGTGAGCTCCCAACATGGTATGGACAAATTGCACCACTCATGCTGGTTAACTAAAACCGGGATAGTCGAGTAAGCGAGTTCACTCCCTGGGCCATGGCAAGATCTGTTCAGCGCGGGCTATTCCAACCTCCAAGTGCATAGTCACCGATCGATCCATGCGATGGTGGTTGTTGACCTACAAAGAGCCAAGGTCTACGAGTGCTAGTATTGGATGCTGTCTGCATGCAGTCAACAAAATCAAAGTACCTCAGTATGCCCCAGAATAGGGCATGTGCATCTATAGCATGACACAACAGGGGTTCTGGCGGCACCTGTCAAACAAGCAGTAGCGACTAGTGCCAGCTACCTATTGGAGGCTAGCCGCTACAGTCTGTCACTGGAGATAATTATTATGTTCACTGTTTAGACTCAGAGCACAATCAATGATGCCCAATCAATCTGCCCAATGTGTGTTCTGTTCCACCTAATTATAACGTCCCATCGCATCAACCCTACTACACGCACATGTCGTCACTCTAGCATGACTTGTGTTATTATTGTTTATTTTGATTCGCACGATAAATAGAGCACAATAAACGTTAACTTGACCGAAGGATAAAGGCGACTGCAGATAGAGGAACACATCGAGGTACAGGTACCGGCATCAATACAGTATCAGAGAGAAACAAACAAAAATGAGAGGTACGCAGAAAAAACTCTCGTAAGCCCAAGGGGAAGTGGTTGATGAGGGATGAATGCACTCTCCACGCTCATCTACACTGTTCGTGGAAATGCACACATACATACAATAATATACAACATAGCAATAGCATGCACAGAACCGAACAATTTCATGTTCACACATGCAAGCACAGACCTGAACATTAGTACCAAAAGCCGATACAGACAATATCCCCATACACACAGACGCACACACACACACACACACACACACACACACAATGTCCCATGTATGCGCCCGTGGCGAGAAAAGCACGCAAATCTACAAATGCACTGGATGTGAACCCACAGATTTTCTCTTATAGCAACGATAGCGGATCTGATTCTGAAGGAAACACACACACACACACACAATGCAATCATTGAATGCCCATCCGCAGATGATGGCCGGTCCTGAAAGAACAGGCAGTGTTCCAGTAATGGGGAACAGAACTTCGAGTGGCGAGTGAGGTATACACACACACACGTGCGTGCGCGGGCACACACTAAAGTATTCAGAAATAGAATCGACATTATAGTATTCATTGGTTGGGGAATGGAAAGGAAAATAAAACATTGCTGTAGGTTATTGTTGTAAGAACACTGGGAGCACAACAGAAAGGTAAGCAACTTGCTTTGAAGCAAAGAAAGTTATTATTCCACGGATCTCAGAAGGAAGGAACGTTCCAGAATGCTGCACTGGCAACAGGCGGCCTGCATGTGCGCAGCCCCTGCAGTCGGTCCAGCTGCCGGCCTTGCAGTGCTGAAAAGAATGTGCAGTACAGCATGTCACATAGTATCGCAGCCTGGACAAATAGCCGCTGGGAAGTCCTAGTTATGTGCTCACCTACACCACGATGCACCAATCTTCTGAGCTACTTTGGCAACAACTTTGTCCACTTGAGACTCCCATGGGCTGAGGCAGTTGTTCAGGGCTGCACCAAGGTGGACGGCAATGACCGCTGATGGCAAGGCAATCCATGACACACAGTCACTAGGGCATCGTCAACATGGCGCTGAGGCTGGATCGATAAAATCAACCTTTAGGCTATCGCGGGGTTGACAACGAGGCCACTGTCTCAAAGCCAGTCAGTCAGCCTGGTCACCGCCATTGACGAACCAGTCGCCACCGCCAGCAGTGGCGGTAGGTTGTGACAAGTGTGGTGCAATATTGTCAGCAAATTCAGTACTTAGGATAAGATGAGTGACAAAG